TTTTTAATGTATGGAAGTAAAGATAGAGCTTTGGGTTTTCGTTCGGGTAAAATTGAACGGAACTTGTTAGAGATAGTCTGCGGCCTCAAAGTATACCTTCGGCTGTCACGTGAATGCTCGAGAGCAGTTATTCGTGCCATCCCTCAGCTTGTAGTCCAAGACTCCAAGTGGATTATCGCTGGAGACATCGGCGCTACAACCTGTCGAGGGCTTGGGCGGCTCAGGGCATTAGTTGAGAGTCGGGCCGACAAGTGGGAAACTGCCCCGATCTATTACCATTCCTACCCTCCTAAGTAGCTCTCCTGTTGGATGGCTGATATCAGCATAGACAAGGGAAGGAGGGACTGGACCAAGGGACGAGGAAAGGTGGCACTCTGTTTCGTCACAGTGTTACTCAATTAGACCTTTCTATGAGTAAATTTGCATTTGTCGATGTGCACGCCGCCGAGCGCGTGCGTGAGTGTGTCGGGTCTGCATTCGTGCGCATAATCGTAGCTGTTTGTAAATGAAATTTGTTAGTGGTTTCAGGTAGTCTCATCTTTAGGTCCGTTAGAATATTAGGGTCCATAAACAGGAGGCCCGGAAACAGCAGAAGAGCCGGCGAGGCACCCGCGGTCTGCTGTTTGTCGAAGTACAGTTTTCGAGAATCTTGGGTTCTATATGCAGTCGTAGGAGCAGCTCAGGATGCACTAAGACAGAAGAGGCCGGGCTGGATTCACGGATGGACGATTTGATTTATCGACAGATAATAAAGAACATAAGTCGATGACGTTGTGGGTCAATAGGTTGCTGGCTATACAGACAAATAAATGATAGACAGCCGTATGCGTTCTCTTGTATCGCCAGAGATTAGGGTATGTGCGTGTGGGCGCGTCATCAGGCTTCCCCAGAAGTGCAAAAAGACATGTAACAGGCCCCCTCCCCTTCCGCCTCTCCCTGTCTCTCTTCGAGTGCGTGGGTATGTGTGGGTGAGTATGTGTGCGTGGGCGTGGGCGTGCGGGCGTGTGTGTGTGTGTGTGTGTGTGTGTGTGTGTGTG